AGAAGTAGCCCCACCTACCTTGCAGGGTTATTGTAGGATAAAGGGGGGGGCATTAAGTGATTTTGAGCTCTTTGCAGGAAGGAGGAGTGTGTGAGAGTTTTGTTTCATTTTTAAAGGGTGAGCTGTTGATTGCTGAGCTGCATCCTGGTCCTTCATACATTTCTGAAGATATACAGTCAACCTTGGGTTGAAGTCGCTTCAGGTTAAGCCTTTTCGGGTTGCGCTCTGCGGTGACCTGGATGTAACGGAGTGCGTTACTTCCGGCCTTCACTGCTTGCGCATGCGCAGATGCTCAAAATGATGTCAAAAGATGCTCAAAAGTGGTGAATCACGACCCGCACGTGCGCAGACGTGTGGACGCAGGTTGCGTTCGCTTCAGGATGCGAATGGGGCTCCAGAATGGATCCTGTTCTCAGGTTAAGTACTTAATTCATTCCGGAGGTCTGTACTTAACCTGAAACTGTTCTTAACCTGAAGCACCACTTTAGCTAATGGGGCCTCCTGCTGCTGCCACGCCGCCGAAGCCCGATTTCTGTTCTCATCCTGAAGCAAAGTTCTTAACCCAAGGTACTATTTCTGGGTTAGCAGAGTCTGTAACCTGAAGCGTATGTAACCCCAGGTACTGTATTGATTTTGTATACATACATACCCTAGAACTTACTGCAATGGCTGTTGTCATTTGAACTTCAATAAAATACTCTTTGGGGTTACTTAATTCATATGAAATACTCCTGGAAAACCTTTCTGCTAGAGAAGGGTAGCTACTTTAAACACACTGCCTTAAAAAAGAGGAGGAAGATTGGCATAGAATTTGCATCTGCTTTGATGTATAAATGCAGCTTCAGATTTAAGTAGATTTAAATACAAGCCCTCTTGCCCCAGGGAGCGAGAAGGGGAGCTGCCTGTCTGCCCAGACTGCCTTCCAGGGGCAAACTGCAGGTGGGCCTCTCCAGGGCCCTTGCTTTATTTTCTTATGGATCTGTATCACTGAACTGAGCGTGAACCAGACAGCCCTTCAGTTAGAGAAAGCCTTCAAACAGACTAGGATGGTGGTCCTCTGTAAATCAGGACATGTGGCCGCCGCAAAACGGATCAAAATATTAGAAGCAAGTGGACCAGTTCATGGAGGAGACAGTTATTGGCAGCTGCTAGCCACAATGGTAAAGGGACACGGGTGGCGCTGTGGATTAAACCACAGAGCCCAGGACTTGCCGATCAGAAGGTTGGCGGTTCGAATCCCCACGACGTGGTGAGCTCCCGTTGCTCGGTCCCTGCTCCTGCCAACCTAGTAGTTCGAAAGCACGTCAAAGTGCAAGTAGATAAATAGGTACCGCTCCGGCGGGAAGGTAAACGGCGTTTCCGTGCGCTGCTCTGGTTCGCCAGAAGCGGCTTAGTCACGCTGGCCACATGACTCGGAAGCTGTACGCCGGCTCCCTCGGCCAATAAAGCGAGATGAGCGCCGCAACCCCAGAATCGGCCACGACTGGACCTAATGGTTAGGGGTCCCTTTACCTTTACCTAGCCACAATGGCTATGCTGTCTCCATAGCTGAATGTCACAGTGCGTTTTCTGGAAACCACAGAAGGGGAGAGGGGCCCTTGTGCACGGATCCTGTTTGAGCACTGGACCAGATGGGCCATTGGCCTGATCCAGCAGGCTCCTCTTACGTTCTCAGATCTGGGGAATGTGGCCAGTTTGTAAAAGAAACGTCTTGTTATATGGCGCCCCCTCCTCACAAATCTCTGAGCAGTGCAAGAGTCCAGGGGTATCAGTCGCACTTCTCGGGGACTGTGTTTACTTTAGAACAATGAGACACAGACGTCTGTGGCATATTTATGATCTATGGTTCATTTACACATGTATACAGCCTGAGTCTGGAGGGAGAGAGTGTGGAGTATTCACATCCCAAGAGGGTCCTGTTTCCTCCCATTGCTGCAGCCCCAGATTCCAAGAAACCCCCAATATCATGTGTGCTCTGCCCGCCTCCTGCCCACGCTTGCAAAATGGACCCTGTTTCTGTTTGCTTAGATTCACTTGCCAGTCTTACTCAGAACAAACCCTTTGAAGTGAATGGAGCTGACTAACTTAGGTTCATTAATTTCAGTGGGTCTACTCTGAGTCAGACTATGTTTTAGCAATGGCAGCCACCATCCAGGCTGACTTTCAAGCCCAGATTCCTGGCTCAGCTGAGCTACCTTCCTGTTGCAACTCCTGCGCGAAGTTCAGTTGAATTGAATTAACTCCCTCTAAAAGAAATCAAAAAGCTGTTCTTGAGTCAGATCTCTTATCGTTTTTATTAAAAGCCACATGCAATATGCTCTCATTGCACTCTCTGCTCCTCCATCCCCTCCCACCCCTCAAACACTTCCCAATTCACTGTTGCGCTATTCATTTTGGCGAAAGGCAAAATGCTCTCTGGGGAGTGATGGATAGTGGGAAATGAAGAATACGCAGGGGCTTTATTGCAGCCATCAATCTCTTCCCTCGCAGTCCCGATCAAAGCCTTTGCTTTCCCAGGCAGAGGTTAGGCAGAGGAGCAAAGGGATCGAGTTTCGGGCAAACGCAGGGCGGAGTGAGGACTCCATGCTGGGAGAGCGAGCAAGAATTTGGCTCTCGCAAGGCGGTCACTGTGAGATGCCCCATTCATGCTTTGCACGGTCTGCGGGGAGACGAGGGGACCGTACAAATGGGGATGTGGTGGCTTGGATCCCTCCGGTCCAAAGGGGGAAGGTGTAGACCAGGCACCCCCAACCTGCGGCCCTCCAGATGTTTTGGCCTACAACTCCCATGATCCCTAGCTAGCAGGACCAGTGGTCAGCGATGGTGGGAATTGTAGTCCAAAACATCAGGAGGGCCAAAGGTTGGGGATGCCTGGTGTAGACTCTGGCTCTGAATGTGCCACCAACAGCCTGTGTGACTCCCCCCTCAGAAATTCTGAAATCCTTCCTTGTACATCTTCTTTGATTTTGGTGATCTGAATTCATAGAATCATAGAATTGTAGACCAAGGGTCATCCAGTCCAACCCCGTGCAATGCAGGAATCCCAGTTAAAACATCCATGGCAGATGGCCACCCAATCTCTGCTTAAAATCCTCCAAGGAAGGAGAGTCCGTCACCTCCTGAGGGAGGCCATTCCATTGTCAAACAGCTCTCATTGTCAGAAAGTTCTTCCTGGTGTTCTGGACTAGTTAGTGGCTAGTAGCCTTCACAAGCTGCACAGTTAAACTATGGAACTTGCTCCCCCATGTGATGGCCTGGGACTCGGGCTTGGACTCAGAACCGGAGGAGTCTCGGTCCGCACCGGATCCCTTGCCCCAGGCGGCATCTGAACCGAGTCTGGGGCCTGATTCTGAAGAGCCCCAGTCCGCACAGGTTCCCCTGCAACAAGCACCAGCTGGGCCGAGTCAGGGGCCTGAGCCTGCCCTGGCTCCAGACGCGAGGATTACCTCGTTGCCTTCAGCTGGGCCATCACTTACAGCTGCTCCACTACCAGTTTGGTCACGGGAGGCTGAGGCGGCCCCTGGGTTTAGTAACCCACCGACGTCTCCCGAGCTGCAGAGACTCAGGTCTGAGAGAAGGAGAGACCTGAGGACTCGCAGGAGGAGTGCTCGCCTTTGGGCGAGGCAGGGAGGTGAATCACCGGGGGATCAGGACCGGCTGTTACCCCGTCAGAGATGAAAGGCTGCCGGACCCCACCCCAGGTTGTGGGAGCAACATTGCTGCTACTCGCCTGTTAACCCTGTGCCTGACCTAGCCCGTTTTCCTGCCTTGGCCCTGTTAACCCTGTTGGCCTGACTTCTCGTGGAATCCTTGGATTTGGGACTAGACCTGGACTGCATTGCTCAGGTTAACCCCCGGGCCCAGCACACCCTAGAAGCAGTGATGGCCACCGACCTGAATGGCTTTAAATGAGGCTGAGACAAATCCATGGAGGAGAGAGAGCTCTCGATGGATACCAGTTGCTGTAAACCATGAGAGGGTTGCTCTTGTGCTCGAATCCTGCTTGCTGGTTTCCATTTGGTCACCTAGTTGGCCACTGTGAGACCAGGATTTTGGACTAGATGGGCCACTGGCCTGATCCAGCAGGCCAGTCTTTGTGTTCTGATGACTGAGGACCAGTGCTCTAATTGCAGAAGAAACCCATGCCCTTCTTTTGGAACTGGCCTCCTTGTTGTTGTTTAGTCGTTTAGTCGTGTCCGACTCTTCGTGACCCCATGGACCAGAGCACGCCAGGCACTCCTGTCTTCCACTGCCTCCCGCAGTTTGGTCAAACTCATGCTGGTAACTTCCAACCATCTCGTCCTCTGTCGTCCCCTTCTCCTTGTGCCCTCCATCTTTCCCAACATCAGGGACTTTCCGGGGGATCTTCTCTTCTCATGAGGTGGCCGAAGTATTGGAGCCTCAGCTTCAGGATCTGTCCTTCCAGTGAGCATTCAGGGCTGATTTCCTTCAGAATGGATAGGTTTGATCTTCTTGCAGTCCATGGGACTCTCAAGAGTCTCCTCCAGCACCAGAATTCAAAAGCATCAATTCTTCTGCGATCAGCCTTCTTTATGGTCCAGCTCTCACTTCCATACATCACTACTGGGAAAACTATAGCTTTAACTATACAGAAATTTGCCTCCTTAGCTACTGTTTTTTAGAAATGGAGAGCGTGGTTTGGCTGAAATTGGGAGGAGTTGGGACATGGAACCCAAGGAGTGCCTGGTGAATCAGGCCCATGGCCCACTTAGTCCAGCATCCTGTTTCCATGGTGGCCAGCCAGATTCCCTCCCCCCCAGGGGAAGCCCACCAGCAGGATCTGAACCCAAGAGAATGTACATTCTCTCCCATGAGAATGTAAGGAGAGCCAATTTGCCCAATTCTCTTTTAAAGCCATCTTTAATCATTTTTGCTTCAGCCCCCTCCTCCGCCCTGCTCCCGAGATTCACATAAACCTCTGATAAGTAAAGAAAACAATTGGTTTGGTTCATTCTGGGTCTGGCGTTCTCCGCAGTGGAGGGTGGGTGGGCAGGAACCCAATTCAACCTGCCCTTGGTTCCTTTTAATCTCCTTGTCTCATGTCATGACCCAGACTCTCCCAAGCGAGATTTTTATGGCCACGCTCTCTATTCTCCTTTGTTTTCATCAGCTGTTGAAACAGGAGTCACTTGGAGCCAAGTTCTACAGAGTAAAGTGGGAGGGAGAAAGAGGCAGAAGCAGCGAGAGGAAAGAAAGAGTTGAGTCGGATGTGTTGAGACTCACAGCTGCCAGAGCCGGGCGCAATGGGGGTTTAAACTCAGCAAGTTGACCTGAATCAGCTGCAGGACAGATGCTTAATAAGAAGGGTTAAATCTATAGCTAAGGAAAAAAAACTCACGCATCCCCCCCCTCCATTATTCTTTGCATTTATCCTGCCGGACAGAAGCAAACAGGATGTCTTCCCAAGGGCTGGTGACCGACGACCTCTCCATGGATAGCAACTTTGCTTATGACGATAACTGGTATATATATGACCAAAAAGGGGACCAGGATGAGTGAGTATTGCTAATTCATTTGTTTCCCAAGTATGATGTGTGTGTCACTGAGTGGGGAATCTGATTCAGTGGGGGGAATCCCAGGTCTGAAATGAATGTGCTCCTAAAAACTTTCCCTTCTTTTCAAATTTCGGTTTCCTATCTGCTCAGGATACGCCAGCATTTACTGAATGTTTGGTACTTTTATGTCCAGCATTGTACTTTATTTGACCACTACATCTCATAGCTGGTTTGGGAGGGTGTTTTGAGAGTGTTTTCTTGGGGGACCTGCAATGGCATATGACTACATTTGATTGCCTGACATGTAAAGGTATGTAGTATCTGAGAGATAACATGCAATGGAAGTTAGTATCTTACCTTCATATTCAATGCCCGCCGAAACCATGAGTAGGAGCCAACAGATCTAAAGTACTCAAATTTTCACTGGGGGGGAGGGAGAGAATACATTTTGGTGATGTAGGAGCATATTTGCTTTAGGTAGGTCTAAGCCATAATCTGTCTTTCACCACCACCTTGCCACACTCCTTGGCAAAGCTGTTCTTAAAAGTCCCTATGCCAGCATTTTCTGTAATCTATTAATCCTCCTGTAGCCCCATTTATATTATTACTTTATCATGGTCTCCTCCTAATTATTCTGATTTCTGGGGTAGAAATCATATCACATATCATATCACATATCATATCACATATCATATCACATATCATGTCATATATCATATCATATATCATATCACATCCATATTCTGTATTGCTACTAACATGTTTTTGAAAGTAGCCTTTTCAGTTCAGCCCCAAAGCAAATTGTATTTTGAGAACTTTCACTTCTCAAATCCAAGGTATTTTGTTGGGGGGTGCATTTCATACAACTGCACCCCCCCCGAATACAGCTTTTTCATTTATTTGTGGCAGCTGTGGCCAGTGATCCATGCAATCTGGTGCTGATGGTGGTTCTGCTCCTTAATGGAGCTCAGGACTGTTCCCTCGCCATTCAGAGTGAGGGCAGGAATCATTATTTTCTGATCCTGCCCTCACTCGGATATGGTTTTGTGAATGTTTCCCGCATGGCTGCAGTGTCAGTTCACTAGCCTAAATACCCACCAAACAGCCTATGAACAAAGTGGTAACATTGGCAAACCACCACCCCCCTACAATTAGACATCAGTTTTGATGGATAGATGTGAACTGTAGATTCTATCGGCTTGTATCAGTCTAAAGATATGGCTTCATATTTGTTTCAATATTCCCATTTCATTTTCATTTATTTTTAAAGCCTTATTTTTATTTTCCTTCTGCTGTGGGAGCAGCAAGGTCCTCTCTTTCTTTCTTTCTTTCTTTCTTTCTTTCTTTCTTTCTTTCTTTCTTTCTGGATTTTTGAAATGATAGGCAAAACAAAAGACAAAAGTTTAATATCACTCTCACAATAAATTTGGTACCAATAAGAATGCTAAGCCTGAGCGATGTTACATAGAGTTTTTCAACAACAAAAAGGGAAATAAAATAAAGACCCACAACTACACCACAGGGTCCTTTGCGGGGGCATTTTGTTGACCCCAAAATATTTTTTTTTATAAAGATTTTTATTCAGAATTTTCAACATACATAAAGAAAAAAAAAGAAGAACAAGAAAAAGCAAACAATAGAAAAAAGCGTACAAAAAAGATAGAAAAAATATAACATCATAGTCAAAATCTTACTTTCTTAACTATTCAGACTTCCTCACATCTTTCATTCCTGCTTTCCAGTTTTAAAAAATTCTAAACAGCAATTTATCACCTTATTTCAGATACTTATTTATATTTTTCCAATTATTATGTTTCCCATTTTAAATTTTTGTTGACCCCAAAATAGCCCTTTAATGTGGCCGCCAAAGGAAATGGTCTCCAGTGGGACTCCCGTTTGTTCCTCTGAACATTTGTTTTGAACCAAATGGGCTCCATTCAGTTTCGCTTTCCACTCGCTCCAAAATGAATGAAAACATAACAAGAGCCCGACTGGATCAGGCCAGTAGCCCTCCTAGTGCAAGGGGATCAAGGTGACTTACACAGTTCTTCTCCTCCCCGTTTTATCCTCGCAGCAACCCTGTTCAGTACACTAGGCTAAGAGTGGCCCAATGTTTGGATTTGAACCCTGCTCTCTCCCAGTCCCAAGTCCAAGACTCTTAACTACTGCACCTAACTGGCTCTTCAGTTGGGCTGTTTGTTTTTGGTCGGGGTTTACTCATTGGTTTGAAACCTTCTGTCAAAGTCAACTGTGATTTTTGATATGAAGATTTAATAAATTCAAATAATGCTGTTTTTTTGTTTTTGTTTAAAAACACAACATGGCATCCTGTTAAGGCTCTCATTTTCTTTAATTATTTTGTTTGTCTCATAATGTTAGTTGATTGCCTTTCAAAGCTGTTCATGGGGCAATTTACATGTTTGTTTTTGTTTTGTTTTGTAAAATCCACCCTGAATGGGGGGAACCACACAACCTCTAAAACTAATAAACACATTTAAAAAATAATAATCAGAAAACAACAGGAACATAGCAACAGGATGAAATAGTGCTGACTTTTCTACAAAATGAAAAACAAGGTGAAATAACACTTCAGGGAGAAAGCGTTTATGGGAATCATATAATTGTAGAGCTGGAAGAGACCCTGAGGGATATCTAGTCCAACCTTATGCGATGCAGGAATCACAGCTAACCCCAATTTACTCCAAAGCCACAACGGAAAAAGCCCTGCTTCCTGAAGGATGACAATAATAATAGTTATTATTATTTCTTGTTCTTCCCATGAACTGGATCTGAATGGGTCTGAAGTTGGCATCTTGCTGGATCCATGTGCAACTCCCCAGGGTGGCAAACAACTGAATTTCACATGGCAGCTTCTCCAGGGAGCCCTGGGCTTCCTCCTCCCACCCAGGCTGGCCTCTTCGTCCTCCGGGACAGGAAGAAGTGTAGGAGGGCTTCCTGTTCCAGTTGAGCCTTGCTTGAGCAACCAGGTCTCCCTGAGTTCCTGTGTGTTCCTATATCCTTAATTCCTGACTTCCCTCCTCGATCCTGACTCCTGGTTTATCCTTTTCCGTTCTGGCCGCTGGCTGGACTGGATTCACAGAACAGCTGCGCAACCACTAGTAAAGGTAAAGGGACCCCTGACCATTAGGTCCAGTCTCAGATGACTCTGGGTTGTGGCGCTCATCTCGCTTTATTGGCTGAGGGAGCCGGCGTACAGCTTCCAGGTCATGTGGCCAGCATGACTAAGCCGCTTCTGGCGAACCAGAGCAGCGCATGGAAACGCCGCTTACCTTCCCGCCGGAGCGGTACCTGTTTATCTACTTGCACTTTGATGTGCTTTCAAACTGCTAGGTTGGCAGGAGCAGGGACCGAGCAACGGGAGCTCACCCCATTGTGGGGATTCAAACCGCCAACCTTCTGATCGGCAAGTCCTAGGCTCTGTGGTCTAACCCACAGCGCCACCTGCGTCCCGTGCAGCCACTACAGGTGGGCTAAACAGGTTGCGGAATCTTTTACTGGCTTGGATTCAAGAACTAGACCAGAATCACAGCTGAGCCTGAACCAAAAACCGTAGCTTGAAACAGGCGTCAGGAATCACCAGATGTGCAAATGTAGGATGGACTGGCTTAACAGCAATCCATGTGAAATGGATCTAAGGGTCTTGGTAGACCACAAGTTTAAAGTGAGTCAACTGTGATGCAGCAGCAAAAAGGCCAGTGCCATTCTAGGCTGCATCTACAGAAGTGTAGTGTCCAGATCAAGAGAAAGTGTAGTGCCACTCTATTCTGCCTTGGTCAGACCACACCTGGGGTCCTGTGTCCACTTCTGGGCACCCCAGTGAAAGAAGGCTATTGCCAAGCAGGAACATGTGCAGAGGCAGGTGACTGAGATGATAAAGAGTCTGGAATCCAAGACCTTTTGAGGAACCGTTAAGGGAACTGGGGGGACGTGGGTGGTGTTGTGGGTTAAACCACAGAGTCTAGGACATGCCAATCAGAACCGACCTTCTGATCAGCAAGCCCTAGACTTGCAAAAAGAAAAGAGAGACCCAGTCTTGCCCTGCCCTTTAAATCCAACCAGTAGCACTGCCACAGAGTGCACCGTAGTATCTGCAAGATGCTGCAGAAACAGTGGCATAAAATATTTCTTTGTTTGCTGGCTTATCGTTACACTTATATCCCATGTTTTTCTCCAAGGAGCTCAATGTGGCATACATGGTTGTCCCCCCCCCATGTGTCCCCACAATAGTCCTGCAAGGTAGGTTAGGCTGAGAGGCTAAGATTATCCCCAAGCGAGTTTCCTAGCTGAGTAGGGGATTGAACCCTGGTTTCCCAGGTCCTAGTCCTCAATTATTCCCACCTTATCCCTGTGAGGGATGCAGGTGGCGCTGTGGGTTAAACCACAGAGCCTAGTACTTGGCGATCAGAAGGTTGGCGGTTCGAATCCCTGCGACGGGGTGAGCTCCCGTTGCTCGGTCCCTGCTCCTGCCAACCTAGCAGTTCAAAAGCACGTCAAAGTGCAAGTAGATAAATAGGTACTGCTCCGGTGGGAAGGTAAACGGCGTCTCTGGTTCGCCAGAAGCGGCTTAGTCATGCTGGCCACATGACCCGGAAGCTGTCTGCAGACAAACGCTGGCTCCCTTGGCCTATAGAGCGAGATGAACCGCAACCCCAGAGTCAGCCACGACTGGACCTAATGGTCAGGGGTCCCTTTACCTTTACCTATCCCTGTGAAGTAGGTCAGCCTGCGAGCGAGTGACTGGCCCAAGTGGCCAAGTGGGGATCCCAAGTCCTAGTCTGACACTCTTGCCATTGCACCACAGAGGGATGGGCAGTGTAGTTCAGCTGGGTTCCCAGTGCTCTGTGGGGCTGGCAATTACCCAGGGGTGAGGGCAAGGCAGCAGGGTGCAGCAGCAGGACTTTTGGGTCGGCTCACCCCCCCACCCTCTTGGAAAGAGGCAGCTACGTAGAGCTTTGGGAAACCCAGAATGAAACACTACCTGACCTGTGCCCCCCAACAGCCACGACTGTGGTATCTTGAAAAAGCGACCGTTCTAAAGAGGCGAGTTTCTTGTTGTGGGCCACAATCTTGGCAAAAAGCAACCTTGCCCGCGGCAACGACGAGTGGCCAGCGAGGTCCCTGGTTTCAGATAGGTTGGTTTCTTCCAAGCCAATTTCCCAGTTCTTGGCCTCTTCCCAGGGTGGGGACTGGGGAGCCTCGGGTCCAGGGGGGCCAAATAAGAACATGGGAAGAGCCTGGGGGGTCAGAGCAGTGGCCCATCTAGTCCAGCTTCCTGTTCTCACAGCGGCCAGCCAGATCATAGAATCGTAGAATGATAGAGTTGGAAGGCACCCCAAGGGTCATCTAGACCCACCCTCCGCAATGCAGGAAACCAGCAATGAGGACCCAAGCACAAGAGCCCTCGCCCATCCTGTGGCTTCTAGCAACTGGCATTGAGAAGCACTGTGGAGGCTGAGCAGAGCCACCATGTGACCCTCAAGGCCTCTCTAGAGCAGGGGCCAGCAACCTTTATCAGCCATGGGCAGATCCACTGTCCCTCAGATCATGTGGTGGGCTGGACTATATTTTGAAAAACGGCCTCGGTCCAGTATACCTGAAGGAGCATCTCCACCCCCATCGTCCAGCCCGGACACTGAGGTCCAGCTCTGAGGGCCTTCTGGCCGTTCCCTCGCTGCAAGAAGCCAAGTTACAGGGAACCAGGCAGAGGGCCTTCTCAGTAGTGGCACCCGCCCTGCGGAACGCCCTCCCACCAGATGTCAAAGAGAACAACAAATATCAGACTTTTAGAAGACATCTGAAGGCAGCCCTGTTCAGAGAAGCTTTTAATGTTTAATAGACTATTGTATTTTAATATTCTGTTAGAAGCTGCCCAGAGTGGCTGGGGAAACCCAGGCAGATGGGAGGGGTACAAATAATAAATAATAAATAATGAATGAATGAATGAATGAATTCCTATGCCCCACAAATAACCCAGAGATGCATTTTAAATAAAAGCACACATTCTACTCATGTAAAAACATGCTGATTCCCGGACCGTCCGCAGGCCGGATTGAGAAGGCGAATGGGCCGGATTCGGCCCCTGGGCCATAGGTTGCCTACCCCTGCTCTAGTGGGTCCCTGGGACTCCCCAGGCCCTTGAGAGTGTGGAAAGAGCCCTTGAACTCTGATGCTGCCTCTTGCTTGCCTGTGAGGAGGAACTGGAGGGGTGGAGGGGGCAGAGACTTCTGCCTGTGGCACAACAAGGTACACCCACCCACAGTAAAGGGCCACTTCTGTTCCTCCGACCACGTTTGCGTGTGTCCACCACCCCCGCTCTGTAGCTTCTGGAAGGTTGTCCATGATGAGTTGTGGCCCTTGAGATGAAAGGGCTTCCTCACCTTGCCTTCTTCTAAGGCCTCCCAGTTCCCAGAGCGCAGGGCCAGCCCAAGGCATTTTGGCACCTGAGGTGACCCACTAAAGGCAACCCTCCTCCCCACCAGGAAAGAAGGGGTGAGTGAAGATCTACACCAGGAACAAGAGGGAGAACGTAGTTCGACATGGGGATCTGCTGCCTCTGTGGATTCTGCCGCCTGAGGCGGTGACCTCACCTTGCCTCATGGGTGGGCCGGCCCTGCCAGAGCGCCCTATGAAGAGAGGCTGGCTGTTAAACCCCTCTGGGAACTGTAGTTTTGTGAGAGGAACGGGGCTCTCAGCACCAACAACAAACTGCAGCTCCCAGCATTCTTTGGGGGCAGCCATGACGGTCTAAAGTGGTGTCCTAGCACTTTCAACGCAGGGCATGAGCCTGGCCTAAGTGGGCTCCACCTGCCATTGGCTCTGATGCCCCCCAAGGGGCTCCAGCTCATAGCTGTCAACTTTTCCCTTTTCTTGCGAGGAATCCTATTCGGAATAAGGGAATTTCCCTTAAAAAAGGGACAAGTTGACAGCTATGCTCCAGCTGCCCTGATGCTCCTTTGCTCATTGTTTGCAAATAGCTGCTTGGCTCCATCTCCTGATTCCATCCAGCCTTTTCTATGTATGACAAGGGGGTAGGTGCCAGGGTCAACTTCTCCAGCCTTTTCAGCCCCCTGCTGCTTAGCAAAGTCCCCTCCCTCCCTCCCTCCCTCCCTCCAGTAATGTCCCTTGGGACCCACCTGAACTAATTCCTTATCCGCTATGGTGCATTTCCCAGCTCTTCAAATAAATTTCCACGGTTCTCCATCTCCCTTAGTTGAACCGTGTTATGCATATTTAGCGCCTTTAATCTCTTGCTCACAAAACCAGTTCTTTTAACACCCCTTCGGTTAATTTGGTTGCTCCTTTAAAAAAAAATCCCTTTAATTTTAATATATATTGCCTCCTATTAACATAAGATATGTAAGCTCTGCCCTCAAACCCCTATTTTCCAAGGAACCAGAAAATGGCTTTGCATGCATGACATAGATTTATCTCCCTGCTTGGTTAATATAGTGGCACACATATACCAGAGATTTCCTGGAATAAGTATTTTACCCCCGAGGGTGGAATCCTTGTGCAAAATCCTCCTTTTAGCTGGGCACAACTTATTGGATTCCATTTTACACATAAGCGTGTTCAGACCCAGAAACCTCCCCCCTAAATAAATTTACATTTGACTCAAATTTTTGGTTTGGTTTTTGGCAGAATTTAGGCCACAACTTTATTGATTACAGAAAGTGACTGATTGCACAGGCTCTGGTTCGACTAGCTCCCTGCCATTCAGGTAGCGCTGACCCAGGGTTCCAGCATAGGTCAGCCAAGGGTGAATACCTGGATAAGTGGAAAGCTGGGCACAGGCTATCTCCGCTACCCAAATGTTCACCTGGACTCAGGCACGGGCACAACCCCCTCACAGGGGTTGACCAAACCATCGATCCCTGGATTCCTTTAACGGAATACCCTTCACATAGGGATAGCGAGAGCATTCTCCCATCCCTATCACCTGAACCAGAGCCTATCCACAACCTTACAAGTTGTGACAATTTGCTATGCAGCAGGTGAAACCCAAATGGCAACAGCCAATCAGCCAAGTGGGGAAAATTCCTGCCGTGCTCCTGTCCCAATGACAGATGACGGCATAGCAAGGTCAAGCGCAAAGCCCTAAAAGTAGGGAGAGGTGGGCAGGTGTTCCGAATGCATGCGCCGAAAGAGGAAGCTCTGGGTCACGAGCATGGGCATAAATAGGTCCCTCGAACCTTTTAGACTGTGTCCCATTGGCCAGATTGCACCCAGCTTCGAGGGACCTACCAGTCGGGTGTTGTGGCTGACCAATTGTACCCACCCACAACCCAGGGTGTTGCTTGTGCAGGTCTCACCACAATACATGCCCTCTTTAAGGGAGTTCCATAGTCTAACTGTGCACCGCTTGAAGTGAATGTTATTTTAAACATTTGCATTTCTCTTTCATATAGCATGACTCCTGAAGTTATCCCAGACTGCCATCCCACCATCCCTTATGACCTCTACCACGCCTGCATGGCTCCAGTATCAGTAAGTATTTCCCAAGTCGTCTCCTGCTAATGGAGCTCACAGACAATTTTTCAAGAAGATGAAGTCACGCTGGAGACATTGCTGTGAGCAGGGAAGAGGAGAGGTGTTGCTAACTTGCCTGCAAAGTTTAATTTCATTTGCAAGTGACATTTGTGAAACTAAACTGAAATGTTATGTCAACTAATTTCTATAGCATTGGTGTATCATGTTTCTCGTTTATGTAAAAGGTCTTCCTTTGTTATTCTTTTTTATGTGTGCTGAAGCATAATGGTGGATACTTATTGATCTATTCTAAAATGTTTCTAAACTGCTTAATATTTTTAAAAAAATTGTTAGGGGTATATGGCAGTACGAAACATAACAAGATCCTAAAATAATCTAATGAAGCAGAGCTTTAGAAGTACCATACCCAACTACCAAAGCCGATGCAAACGGTTTGTCTCTGCAAAGCGAGTAACTGAAGTTGCTTCATGTACAATGGAGAGAAGGGCTTTCCAGAGTGTAGGAGAAACAGTGGAAAATGTCTGTTTTCAAGTCTGCACTCTAATATATTTCGTAGTCAAGTAAAAGTAAAAAGAAATCAACATCTCAGGGCCGTCTCATGAGGGCCCTGCTATAAACCCATAAGCCCTTGGCTCCTGGAGCTGCCACATTTTATATTTATCAAGATGGGATAGAGCTGTGCAAACAACGGTCTTTGTTGCTCTCATTGAATCCACACCACTTCCTCTCTTGCAGCTGGTCGTCTTGCTGATTCTCTCTATGCTGGTGAAGCGGAAGAAACTCTATAAAAATTGTTGGGATGGAGCCCCTGGACTGCTAAGGTACCCTCCACGGCCCAGATGCAGCCTAGGAATGGAAGACATGGTCTTTTATGAGCCAAGATTGACAATTGTCATTTGTCAGGTTGTGAGTTCTTAAGGTGGCAAATCGGGCAGCGTGTGATGGCGGTAGGGACCATCAAAGGCAGAGGCAGGTCCAAAAGGTCCTTCCCGTTGGCTGGCATGTGTGTAGGCTGCATGAGCTTTGCCCTACATAGTTCTTTGCTGCCCCCCATGTAGTAGAAAGTGAACAATTTATGGAAAAATAAACAGATTTATGTGGATCGGGATAATGAGCACAATGTAACGTATGCAGGTTGTGGAAGGCTTGCTTATACATTTCTATGCCACGTTTCCTCCATGGAGCTCAATACGGCACATATGAAACGCCCCCCCCCCCCCGTTTAATCTGATAACCACAACCCTGCAAGGTAGATCAGGCTCAGGGGCAGTGACTGGCCCCCAAAGTCACAGCCAGGGAGCTTCATGGCTGGGTGGGGGATTTGAACCCAGGTCTCTCCCAGGTCTTAGTCCAACGTTCTAGCCACTACGCAACTAGTAAAATGAATGTGCATACACCCGGGTAGGGAGGCCACAGCCTTCCAGGGGCCACATACCAGTGGGAGGCAAAAGTGGGTGTAGCTCTGCACACAGGCTCTTCTTTCCACCCTTCCAGAGAAGCAAGAGGTATTGCCAGGGGAATAGCAGGCTCTGTGAGGGATGTGGCAACAGGGACCATGGCATGGGCACACTTCCCAGGATTGCAGTGTTGCACCTCTCTGTGCCCTTTGGTAGGAGGGGCAGCCCGCAGCTCAGCGGTAGAGCATCTGTCTTGCATGCAAAAGGTCCCTGTCTCAGTTGCGGCCATCTCCGGAAAAGGGTCAGGTCAGAAGGTGATACGTAAGGGCCCTTCATCTGCTCTAGACGCTGGACACACTGCCAGTTAGAGCAGGAAATACTGCAAAAGTTGGGTCAATCGCCTAAGCGGCTATTGGGCAGTTTCCTAGGCCACCTGAGTTCAGCCATTCACACCTGTATATAGCAAGTGAGCGTGAAAAGCTCAGGTGCATTTGGCTCCTGCTACCTGGGTGCATTTTTTTGGATACGACCTCACACAAAGTCATTTGTGCAGATTCTTGTCCATGCAAAGCATTGGGCACACCCCATCATCCCAAAAGCTAAACACTGAAATGGTGTGGGTGTCTCCGCTCTGGGCCTGCGGTGTGTCTGGAAGTCGGCAGAGTTTGTGGGGAGGGCAGCCCTTCTGCAGAGATGTTCCGCTGGTGCAAATGGGTCCTTTTTTTAATCATTCTCGTCTTTGTTCCTCCTTAAGCCCTGTGCATTTCTTGGAAGAGGAAGGTCACAAGGGGCTCTCTGTGGCAGTTTTTGGCATCCTCTTCTCCTCCTTATGCATCCTGGTTCTGGATAGCGACCCTCTGCCCTTCATCTCCGGCTCCTCGACCCACAATCGAGGTAACACTGAGAGTTGCTGTTGCTGCTGCTGCTGCTGCTGTTGTTGTTGTTGTTGTTATTTATATCCTTCTTTTCCCTAGACCAGGACTCGAGGCAGCTTACATAAATCAAAACAGCCCAGATCAAATACAGAAAGCTAAAAACTTACACAAGAGAATCGTTTAAAAGTAGTTAAACTCTGATAGAATTAAAGTGATATAAAGCCAAATCTATTAAAAAACAGATAATTAAAATGGCACAGCACTATAAAAAGCCAATTCCTTTACAAATCAATTGATTCCCCAAAGCATGTCAGAACAGAGCCGTCTTCACCTGCCAATGGAAGGACCACAAGGAGGGGGCCAGTCCAGCTTCCCCAGGAAGGGACTTCCAAAGTTGTCTGAGAGCAGCCACCAAGAAGGCCCTGCCCCATGTCCCCACCAAGCATGCCTGTGAGGGTGGCAGGACCAAGAGAAGCCCCCCTCCCCAACCTCAGAGCCTAGGCAGGTGTATATGGGAGCCCTGTATAGTTATAAACCAGGCTGCTTCCATGGGCACAGGAGAAAGCCCTTCTTCAACGTTCTACACCAGGCATGTCCAAAGTCTGAATGAGAGGCCCAATCTGGCCCGCTGGCCAGTGATCCGGCCCCTGTAGTGGTGTAATCCGGCCCACTTTGGTCAGTCCTTTGGTCAGCCCTAATGACCCATCACTTCATCACATCTCGCCCACTTTGGGAAAAGTTTGGACACCACTAGTCTACACCATCCTTTTAAATGTTGTGCATTGTTCGCCACTCTAGAGACATTCAGGGCTCCAAAAGCTGCATTGTGTCTGCAAGATTTATACATTGAGAATGTGGAGAATGTGAAGAGCCCTGCTGTATCGGAGCCAAGATCCACCACCCGGCATCTTGCAGTGGCCAGACAGTTGCCTCCAGGCAGGAAAGGCCCAAAATTGAGAGAAATGCAACTTTTGAACTAAATTTTAAGAAAGTGGACCTTTAAGAAATTTGCCCATCCCTATCATACAATCCTGGAACTGCAGAGTCAAACTCCAACCCCCTGCAATGCAGGGACCCCTAAACTAGAAGCCACACTGCCTTGGCAGCTTATGCACCAGACCTGTCGCTCTTCCAAGGGAGTAGCTTCCAAGGAGCTCTTTTGCATGGGGGAAACTGATGCAGCATCTTCAAGGGATGTTTGTGGGAACCCCATCTCTGACTCCACCCTGCATGCTCTCGGCATGGCCTGCCTTGCTGAACTGCCTCTGTTTGTCGTCCGACGGAGGCTCTTAACCTCTGCCCTTCTCTCCCCCTTGATCTCCCTCTCCAGAGTACTGGAAGATCATGGCTTTGCTCTATTACCCTGCCTTCTACTACCCCTTAATTGCATGTGCTACGGTCAGGCCACGGGTACTTGGCTGTCCTGGTGCCATTGCGTGGTCCATCTCTGGCAGAAGGTGGAATGCCCTCAGTCGCCCAAGGTAAAGACAACTGGGGAGGCTGGAAGGCCCTGAGGTTTGGTTGGCACGGGCCAGTTCTAAATGGCTGCAAGGAGGAAGCCCGTTCCTGGAGAGACTGGCTGCTGCTTTGCAGGAGGGGTGGGCAAGAGACCTGTCCATGTTCTGAGCAATATATGATGCCCATAATGGCACCATAGTCTGTGTGTGCCTGGCCCATCTTTGCAGACCTCAAGACCCAACCGTTGGCAAAGAAAGGGCTTGCTGGGAATCAGGAACCAGGAGGTCAGTGAGGCAAGGAGCCTCTTCAAGGGCTTTCAGCTCAGGATCTAGGGGTAGGGCGTGAAGGCAGAGGACCCACCCGCAGGTGGTACCAGAGACAATGACAAGCAATCAGCAAATTCTAGTATTGTCCCTACCCTCCCCTTCCTCCCTGCTGGGTTCTGCAAGGGTTGTAGGAACTTGCTGGAGTTATCCAGCAGGGGGAGAGTTGTCGCTTGCAATGGGATTTGTGAGTTGAACACAGGTTTGTCTTTCTTGCAGCCCTTCTCTTTGTCTCTGCTCAGATTTATAGGTACTATTCCCTGCTTTCTTATCTCCCCATCATCCTGTGCCTTGTGGTTTTGAGCCTTTGGTATCCTGCACAGCTTGTCAAGAGCTTCAGGGAGCAGAAGAGGAAGAAAGTGACGGTGGAGGTAAGGCATGGCAACATCACTGGGTCAAACTAGAGGAAGATACATCTCCGGGTGCTGGCGTAGACTGAGTGGAGCAGGGATGGGAAACCTCATCTCCTCCAGATGCTTAATTATAAGAGTACTTGTATACCAATATATAACACACATATGGTTTACACAACAATGAAAACACAAAAGCCGTACACAGTTAAAAACATTCAAAAGGCTAGAAACAGACCACTATTAACCAGGTGGAAAGATGCATTCTTAATTGCTTGCCCAGCAGAATAGAAAAGTTTCCAGTAGGTGTTTCATAGTGGGCACAGAAAGCACCTGCTGAATCTCCAGTGGCGGAGAGTTCCACAGGGCTAGGCCAATGACACTAAAGGCTCAGTTGCTTGTTGTTGTCAAGTGAGCTTCACCAACTCAGGTGAACCACATTCCTGCAGGTGATCTCAGTGGGATAGAAGGATTCAGGCCATAGCTGTCAACCTTCCCTTTTTTGGCAGGAAATTCCCTTATTCCAGCGCCGTTTCCCACTGCTATCCCAGATTGTTAGATATCCCGTAGCCTGTCCCCGGGACAGGTGAGGCTGCTGATCCCTTATTTTCAAGGCTGCTGATCCCTTATTTTCAAATCTGAAAGTTCACAGCTATGGTTCAGGCAAACCCTGGACCTAAGTTGTTTGGGGCTTTTATAAATTAACGCAAGGACCTTACACCTGTCTCAGTAGTAGATGGGCAGCTAGTGCAGCTGTCAGCAATCTGGTCACAACATTTTGCACCAGCTGGAGCATCTGAACCAGGACCAAGGGCAGTTCCGCACAGAGCGCATTGTGGTAGTTCAGCCTCAAGGCTTACGCGTGAACTACAATTCTGGGACTCCATCCCCCATTGGCCTCTGCTAGGATGTCCAAGGTTTGGGGTGATGGGAGTTGTGGTCCAACGAATCCCTGGATGGCCACAGGCTCAGCCTCTTCATCCCTGGAACAGAAAGGACCTTAGCACAAGAAAACAGACATGCTGCAAAGGAAAAGCCTTACTTTATTCCTGGGACGTGGGGTGTGTGCATGGCTTTGTCACGAGGCCAGCAGTGAACAGAGCCCATCTTCCCTAACCATTGGCCATGCTGGCTTGGGCTGAAGGGAGCTGAGAGTCAGAAGGACAGAATAATTCTCAGGTAAGGAAGTGTTGGGAACATCAGCAGGCACCCTCTGTTTCAACTTTTAAATTCCTGATGGAAGCAGGCAGTGAAGAATACATTTCCCACAACTGTTAGTTGGTTACTGATTTTAACGTTTTCATGCGGTTTTTATTGTATGGTTTTACATGCTCTTGTTGTAAACTGCTCTGATTGTTCTTATGAATAAAGGTAAAGGGACCCCTGACCATTAGGTCCAGTCGTGGCCGACTCTGGGGTTGCGGCACTCATCTCGCTTTACTGGCTGAGGGAGCCGGCGTACAGCTTCCAGGTCACGTGGCCAGCATAGAATCATAGAATCATAGAATCATAGAGTTGGAAGAGACCACAAGGGCCATTGAGTCCAACCCCCTGCCAAGCAGGAAACACCATCAGAGCACTCCTGACATATGGTTGTCAAGCCTCTGCTTGAAGACCTCCAAAGAAGGAGACTCCACCACACTCCTTGGCAGCAAATTCCACTGTCAAACAGCTCTTACTGTCAGGAAGTTCTTCCTAATGTTTAGGTGGAATCTTCTTTCTTGTAGTTTGGATCCATTGCTCCGTGTCCGCTTGTCTGGAGCAGCAGAAAACAGCCTTTCTCCCTCCTCTATGTGACATCCTTTTATATATTTGAACATGGCTATCATATCACCCCTTAACCTCCTCTTCTCCAGGCTAAACATGCCCAGCTCCCTTAGCCGTTCCTCATAAGGCATCGTTTCCAGGCCTTTGACCATTTTGGTTGCCCTCCTCTGGACACGTTCCAGTTTGTCAGTGTCCTTCTTGAACTGTGGTGCCCAGAACTGGACACAGTACTCCAGGTGAGGTCTGACCAGAGCAGAATACAGTGGCATGACTAAGCCACTTCTGGCGAACCAGAGCAGCGTACGGAAACGCCATTTACCTTCCCGCCGGAGTGGTACCTATATATCTACTTGCACTTTGACGTGCTTTCGAACTGCTAGGTTGTCAGGAGCAGGGACCGAGCAATGGGAGTTCATCCCATTGCGGGGATTCGAACCGCTGACCTTCTGATTGGCAAGTCCTAGGCTCTGTGGTTTAACCCACAGCGCCACCCGCGTCCCTGTTCTTATGAATAGTGGCATATAAATATACCAACTTGTGTAGGGAAAAAATACAACAGGGCTTGCCCTTGTTGAATTGGGGTTGGGCGGAGAGATATACAGGCAGGAATTCTGAGATGGTGTGGTGGTAAGGTATTACAGCAGAGCACGTGGACCTGTCTAACGTTTCCGACTCCCAACTGTTTCCATTACGAAACAGGTGCAAATTATGCAGGGCATTGCCAATATGTGATGCATATTTTTGGAGTGAGCACAAATTGCAGATACCGTACAGAAACAGAAAATGGAACCTGACCCACTTGGCAGTTCCTGAAATGTCAAGGTGACATGCATGCCTGCGCGCATTTAAAAATAACAAGTGTTTCATTTTCACACACCTTTCCGCTCCATGAAGTTCTGACGGTGCAGAGTTTCTTTTGGTGGGGAGGAATGAGCTACGCTCTTGCAATTACTTGATAGGCAATAGATTAAGCTGACACAACAAAATGGAGGAATTGTCTGGCCTGGGAACAAACAGCTTTCTAAGTTCCTAGCTCAGGAGTGGGGAAAACCTTGTGGCCATCCAGATGCTGTTGACCAAGCTTCAGGGACTATGAGAAAGCTGTTGTCTTGCAACAGTGTGAAGCTAATGCAGTTCTCGGCTGCATTAACAGAAGTCTCATGTTCAGTCAAGGGAAGTTCTTGTTTTTATTACAGTATGTATTTTTGGTTTTTATCCTTTATTTTTATTCTGTGAACTGCTCTGAGATCTACAGATGAAGGGCAATATACAAATCTAATTTAATAATAATAGTTACAGGTAGGTAGCCGTGTCTGCCATAGTCGAAACTAAATTAAAAAATTCCTTCCAGTAGCACCTTAGAGACCAACTAAGTTTGTTATTGGTATGAGCTTTCGTGTGCATGCCAATAACAAACTTAGTTGGCCTCTAAGGTGCTACTGGAAGGAATTTTTTAATTTTAATAATAAAAATAAAGGTAAAGGGACGCCTGACCGTTAGGTCCTGTTGTGGACAACTCTGGAGTTGCACACTCATCTCGCTTTATTGGCCGAGGGAGCCGCCGTACAGCTTCCGGGTCATGTGGCCAGCGTGACAAAGCCGCTTCTGGCAAACCAGAGCAGCACACAGAAACACCGTTTACCTTTCTGCTGGAGTGGTACCTATTTATCTACTTGCACTTGACGTGCTTTCGAACTGCTAGGTTGGCAGGAGCAGGGATCGAACAACGGGAGCTCACCCCGTTGCAGGGATTCAAACCACCGACCTTCTGATTGGCAAGCCCTAGGCTCTGTGGTTTAGACCACAGCGCCACCCGCGTCTGAATAATAATAATAGTCCCATTCTATTCTGCTTTGGTCAGACCACACCTGGCGTCCTGTGTCCAGTTCTGACCACCACAGTTTAAAAAGGATATTGACATGCTGGAATGTGTGCAGAGGAGGGCAACCAAGATGACCAAGCCTTATGAGGAACAATAGAGGGAGTTGGGGATGTTCGGCCTTGAAAAGAGGAGACTCAGAGGAGAAAGGAGAGTCATCTTCAAATATCAAAGAGGAGGATGGAGCAAGCTGGTTTTCTGCTGCTCTGGAGGGCAGAACCCAAACCAGTGGATTCAAATTGCAAGGAAGGGGATTCCGACTAAAGCTTAGGAAGAACTTCCTGGCAATAAGAGCTGTTTGACAATGGACCAGATTCACTCAGTCCTCAGAAGGCGGTGGACTCTACTTCCTTGGAGGTTTTTAAGCAGAGATTGGATGACCATCTGTCAGGGATGCTTTCGCTGTGATTCCTCATTGAGCCTTGGGGTCCCTTCTGATTCTACAACCCCGTGATTCCCTTCCCAAGGCCGACTCTAATTGAGGTGCCCTCAGTTTACAGGGTGTGTGGGAAAGACAATTTGGATCTTGGGGGGGGCAATAATCTGCTTTTTTTCCTGAAATCTAAACCACTTAGCTCAAGAAGATTTGAGTTTCTGAATGTTTCCTATTCAGAGCCTCACAGTGGAAGGAGGAGAGTGAGTGTTTGGCAACAGAATCATAATCCAAACGATTGGCACAGAGGTCTTTGTTTTAAGAAAGAAAGCTCTATTTAAAAATAAATAAATAATCGATAGAAGCCCAAATCTGCACTCGGATTTTAGGCTTTAGCCCAATCCACGACTCTGGGATAAGGAGTCGGAACAGAACGTTCCTTCTTATTCCACTTCCGATTTTTGTGCAGATCTCCAGCTGGGATCCTGCAACAACCTTGTGTAGTGACAGACCCACTCCTCTCCCCACGATAATTAGCACCTCCGCAACTGCGATCACAAAGGCTGGCGAGGCATATGGGAATTATGCAAGGCATTTTTAAATAGGTTGCAGAAGTCGGGTGCTTCTTTAAAAATATAAGAAGTGTGCTGAGGATGTTGCAGAAACTGTCTGAAGGTGCAGCATCCCTTCGTTGGGTCTTTTCTGGGTTAGCAAGAGCATACTCTGACTGTCAGTGGCAAAGAGAGAGGTCACCTACAGAGCTTCACTCAAAAGTAGATCTACTATAAATGCAATAAATAAATATATCACGGGTGTCTTTGCTACATATCACAGCCTGCATGTTGGTGGGTAGCCTTTCGCAATATGGTTTTGCTTCCTGCAGGAAGATGCTGGAACAATCAGCTATGAGCCTCTTCCTGAATCACTGCCTTGCCAACCCACCGTGGTGCCAGTCCTTGCCCACTGACTGTAGCGTCAGATAGTGACTTGAATGTGTGAATGAGACATCGCAGATTAATCAGCGCAGATGGTAGCATTTCTGGAGGGGCTCAGAATTCAGAGAACATGGTTTGCATGCTGAAGATCACCAGTTCAATCCCCAGTATCTCCATGCAGGGCCAGGAAAGAATCATGTGCTAGTTAGTGGAAAGTCTCATTGGAGAGACAGTGTGGTATAGTGGTTAAAGTGTCAGACTAGGACCTGGAAGAGGCCAGGGTTCAAATCACCCACTCGGTGTCAGTCACTGCCTCTCAGCCTAACTTGCCTTGCAGTTATTATGCGGATTGAGAGAGCCTTGTATGCTACACTGAGCTCATTGGGCGGCAGAGTGGGTTATAAATGCAATAAATAATTATAATTATACTAATTCTAAACAGGCAAATGTTTTTGTTCAGTGGTGGCTCCTCAATTGAGAACTCAAAGAGGTTCACCTGGCACCATCATTGCATATCTGTAGGTGCCAGACAAAAACATTCCCTTTTAATCAGATCTTTGGCTTTTAAGTATCTTATCACCTGTTTTTTTTTTACTGTAGGTTTTTTAAAAAAAATAAAAAATTGAATTGTCAATAATAATAATAATAATTTATTATTTATACCCCGCCCATCTGGCTGGGCTTCCCCAGCCGCTCTGGGTGGCTTCCAACAGAATATTAAAATACAATTGTCCATCTAACATTAAAGGCATCCCTAAACAGTGCTGCCTTCAGATGTCTTCTAAAAGTCTGGTAGTTGTTTTTCTCTTTGACATCTGGTGGGAGGATGCTCCACAGGGTGGGTGCCACTACCGAGAAGGCCCTCCCTATAACTTGGCATCTCGCAGTGAGAGAACCGCCAGAAGGCCCTCGGCGCTGGACCTCAGTGTCCGGGCAGAACGATGGGGATGGAGACGTGCCTTTTAGATCCCCCAGCCTTGCCTCCATGCTGGTTTTAATGATTCTCTGAAAAATGGGGTGAAGCAGAGCTCTGGCTGAGCACACCTGAGAGAGAGCCAGGATGGAGAAATGGACTGAGCTTTTGGGTGTGCTTCCTCCTGTTTTCTCTCTCAGCAGCATCACTGGCTTATTTTGCCCTTTTGAAAAGATGCAGCTCCTACCATATTATCCCTAATCAAAGCACATTTGCCACGTTGCAATTGAAGGGCAAGCTTCCCTAAAAATTTCCTCTACAGCACTAGAGACATCTGGCCAGGCAGCCTGAACAATTGGTGGTCTTCTCCTTTAATTCAAAGAGCCTTTTTACTTGAACCACATTCCTTGGAGACCATATTTTCTGGTCCTTCTGGTCCTCAAGGGAGTAATTGGAGAATCCTGTGTGGTCTCTGCCCCAGCCCCCTTTGCTTTTTAATTTATTCTTCATCTCGTCCTTCTTCCTTGCCCTGATTTCCCAGGTGGTGTCTGCCATCAAATATCTCTTGGATGAATTGCTTGCATTTTCTCTCTGGCCCCAGACAGCCAGCAGAATGTCAAGATGGGGCTTGTCACGTTAGTACTCCATGGCTCAAGCTCAGACTCAGACTGGCTCCTGGGTTGCGGTAGCCCTTGGCAAAGTGTTTTCCTGATATTGCAAATGGCCACTTTGATTTTCCACAATTCCCACAAAGCTGCACTGGGCTTATAGGCTTGCTTGCTCCAGCAGCCACTGGGTGTGCCCACAGCCAGGAGCCCAGGGCAGGCATCAGGGCAGAGAAAGCTGGATGCCCCCGCAGCTGTCAAAGGGTGCCAGTTTCCTATACCAGGCCTGCTATAAACCTAAGCAGTACTTGAGCCAGTGATGGCCAAGTACCTAACAAGAATGTGCAGCAGGGGTGATTACTGGAGCTGTCAGTTAATTCATTTTCCAACTAATTAACTATTCATTTTGCAAATTGCAAAACTGCACATGTTTGTCATGTTCATAATTAATGGCTTTTACAGGTGTGCACCTAATATTCTTTTAATGTGCAAAGCGGACTCTTACATTTTTGCAACTGCCCCTTTAGCTATGTGAAAATTGAGTCGAACCGATGGATTGATTGAGACCTTTGTACCTTTTCAACAGGGGCATTTTGGGGCGGAAGTAGGGTGTGTCCAAGGCCCAGTTACTCAACAATGTCTTAAAAGCCAAATCAGAGTGAGGGCAATGCTTTCTGCCATTACTCTGAATGGGCAAGCATTTTCACAGCCCTGCGGAACAACTGCCCAACTGGAGTTGTGTTTTGCAGCCCCTGCTTTGGTGTGGTCTGGCTTTCAAGACCACCCTGGCTGGCTGGTGAGCTGAATTTGGCTTAGTAAATGGCCATTGTGCCAACCTGAGTCTTCTGTGCTAAGCTGAGCCCCAGATTCCTTTTCCCTTTCCCTAAACACACACACACTTAAAAAAAGGAAGAATACATAGTTTACGTGGTGGGCTGGGCATGCTGTGAAATGCAGGTGTTTCTGCAAATGTTCCCCACCCCCCTATCCTAAATTTTCTCTGGAACTTCCATACTTATAAATTAGCAAATTTGTGCTATGAAGCTGTACCCCAAATCCTTTAAGTACGCAGCAAGGTTCCTACTTTCCCCCTATATTTCAAATGCTGTCTGTTAAGAACCGTAGACCTGTAGATTTGGAAGGGACCCAAAGGGTCATCTAGGTCCTAGTCCGTCCCCCCCAAAAAAATCAGGAATCACAGCTAAGAGAGCATAGTCTAATTTGGAGATGTGGTCACATTCACACAATACATTTAAAACACTCTAGTACTACTAAACGCAGGTCGACGCAGGTGGCGCTGTGGGTTAAAGCCTCAGCACCTAGGACTTGCCGATCGAAAGGTCGGCGGTTCGAATCCCTGCGGCGGGGTGCGCTCCCGTTGTTCGGTCCCAGCGCCTGCCAACCTAGCAGTTTGAAAGCACCTTCGGGTGCAAGTAGATAAATAGGGACCGCTTACCAGCGGGAAGGTAAACGGCGTTCCGTGTGCTGCGCTGGCTCGCCAGATGCAGCTTGTCACGCTGGCCACGTGACCCGGAAGTGTCTTCGGACAGCGCTGGCCCTCGGCCTCTTGAGTGAGATGGGCACACAACCCCAGAGTCTGTCAAGACTGGCCCGTACGGGCAGGGGTACCTTTACTTTTACCTTTAGTACTACTAAAACAGTCATGGGTGCTGGGAACTCTAGCTCTGTTGGGTGAACGCCCTTTATAAACTATAGTTCCCAGAATTCTTTGCGGGGGGGAGCTATGCCAATTGAAGTGGCATTAGAGCACTTTCATTGGGGGAGGCAGATGCGACCTTGCACCAAAAATTCATGTGGAATAATCAGTCTTTTGTGTCTGTTTTAAGCTGCCGGGGAGTGGCTATTACGAAGACTATCTGAAGAATATCCTGGCAAAAAGGACGCCAAATAAAAGGTAAAGCCTCACACACCCAGCCTGCCTTTCATTCAGCAAAACCGCACCCCAAAATCTGGAGATGAATGGGAACTGAAATGGGGGGGTAGGCAAGCTGGCCCCAGAATATCCCTGTATCTTGTTTCATCTTTTTTGGGAACCGCTTTTTGGGTTGTGGTTGTTGTGGTTGTTTTAAAAACAACAACAACACACCAAGCCATGAGTAAATTTTATGACATAAATAAAAATAAGAATAATGTGTCTCTCTCTGTCTGGTCCAAGCCACGCTCCTTGCTGGCCCCAATCCACACCCTCCTCTAGTGCTTATTCCTTCCCGGAGAGCTTGACCTATGATCACATGTCTGGGTTGGCTGGATGGAGCCATGAGGATAGAAACCTCTGGCTTTTGCAGGCTGGACAGTAGTCTATTATACCAAGGCAACACCAGCTCCACACACTTTTTAAATAAATTAATCAATACAGTGGTGCCTCGGGTTACAGACGCTTCAGGTTACAGACGCTTCAGGTTACAGACTCTGCTAACCCAGAAATAGTACCTCAGGTTAAGAACTTTGCTTCAGGATGAGAACAGAAACCGTGCTCCGGCGGCAGTGGGAGGCCGTATTAGCTAAAGTAGTGGTGCCTCAGGTTAAGAACAGTTTCAGGTTAAGAACGGACCTCCAGAACGAATTAAGTTCTTAACCCAAGGTACCACTGTATGAAGCAAGAAAGGCGAATTAAAGACAACACATTATTAGGTTAATAACAACAGACACACAACAAGCAGGTATGCTAAAAACAGAAGGCTGAATATAATCTTAAACTTAGAGTAAAATAAAGTCCATTACTGTCATGGGTGGAATGTATCATATATTGTTGTATCAATCAAATCCATTGATAAGCAAATGGAGGGGGGGACGTTCTTTGTTCTTCCCTATTGGCATAAGTAGTAAAATCAAAGCAGACATCTGGAAATATATCCTTTTTACATTATCTGTTGGAACTGTGTGGTTTGTTGGTCACCTTTCCTACTAAATCAAGCTCCCAAACTTTGGAACTGCCACATCCACTTTTTGATAGGTTTGAGAAAAAATATTGGTTTGCTTATAGTTCATAGGTAGGTAGGTAGGTAGGTAGGTAGGTAGGTAGGTACATACATACAGTGGTACCTTAGGTTACAGACGTTTCAGGTTACAGACTCTGCTAACCCAGAAATAGTACCTCGGGTTAAGAACTTTGCTTCAGGATGAGAACAGAAATCGCGCAGTAGCGGCGTGGAGGCAGCGGGAGGCCCCATTAGCTAAAGTGGTACCTCAGGTTAAGAACAGTTTCAGGTTAAGAACGGACCTCCAGAATGAATTAAGTTCTTAACCCGAGGTACCACTGTAGATGATAGATAGATAGATAGATGATAGATAGATAGATAGATAGATAGATAGATAGATAGATAGATATAGATAGATAGATAGATAGATAGATAGATAGATAGATAGATGTAGATATACTTAGATAGATATACTTAGATATCTCTCATTTGCTAGCATTGCTAAAAAAAGTAACATAAAATGCACCAGAGTCCCATTGGTAAAGTGGAAAAAAGGTTATTTGCTTCCAGTTACTTCACATACCGAAGAATGGCTTCGGATTCTAAGAATATGCCATGAGAGGTTGTGTCATAGCTGCCTCATTCAGGAGAGAGAGAGAATGAGAGCGAGCAGGAGAAAGGGGTGCAGCCTGGGTGTGAAGTGGGAAAGCACAAAGTGTATTTTCCCAGACTACCTGCTAGTGCCAGCCTGGCCATGCTACTGGCTGCTTACGCCCAGCAAAAGTTGTCAATGAGGCATTGTGGTCCTCAGCCTGACAAGGGTCCCCTGGCCCTGTCCTCGTGTCTTGGCGGGTTTGTGGGTGTGTGCCTCTTCTTCTCTGCCTGAGCCAAACTTTCTTTCTGTCCCTCTAGCATCAGCAGAGCCAAGCCAAGCCTGCTGTCAAGGATCCGCTCCTATGTCTGCTCATTCCTCTACGCACCTCAGGAAGGTACTGCATGCACAGATCTTTCGAAAGGCTCCATTGTTGCTTCGGCTTGTTCTTAAATCCTCCACCCGCAAAAGAGGCTGCAGGTGCACAAAAACAGGTGGAGAAATGGAGGCAAATGAAAGCCACCGTGGGTGCTTCTTCTTGAAACGTGTCCTGGCAACCAGGGATTATGAAGGCAACACGATTCCGTCAAGGGATGCTGCCAGTGTCGCAATGATAGCTTGATAAAGCCAAATCAGAGTGAGAGTAGTGCTTTCTGCCATCACTCTGAATGAGCAAGTGTTTCCATCCCATTTCACAGCCCTACGGAGCAATCAGGTGGAGCAAGGGGGTGCGGTAGGGCGGTCTGCCCCAGGTGTCACCACTGAGGGGGTGACAAAATGTTGGGCGGAGAGCCAGTGTAGTGTAGTGGTTAAGAGCGGTAGACTTGTAATCTGGTGAACCGGGTTCGCTTCCCCGCTCCTCCACATGCAGCTGCTGGGTGACCTGGGGCCAGTCACACTTCTTTGAAGTCTCTCAGCCCCACTCACCTCACAGAGTGTTTGTTGTGGGGGAGGAAAGGAAAGGAGATTGTTAGCCGCTTTGAGACTCCTTAAAAAGGGAGTGAAAGGCGGGATATCAAATCCAAACTCTTCTTCTAAAAAGAAAACTAAAACAAAAAAACCAAAATGTTGGACAGCACTTACTGCGGGGCCTGCAACATGTCTCTCTTGGGAGTGACGCGGTGGCTTGGGCACCTGTAGGCTCCACGCTGCCCCAAACGGTCCGCCCACCACCTCCCCCTCAGCTATAGGGCGGCTGAGGGGGAGGAAGCAGGCGGACTCCTCGGAGGCCCCGCGGAGCATCCTGCCCCACTGGGAGCAATGACTATCATTCCTGGTAGACCACCCTACTTAGATAATGAGCTGAATTTGCCTTAGGAACCAGCAATTGTGAATGTGTTTTTGTGGCTGTTGGATTTCTTTGTGGAATCTTGGGACACATCTCTTGATTATATACTTCAGTTGTTTGGACCAAAGCACTCTATCTATCTATCTATCTATCTATCTATCATCTATCTATCTCTTTCTCTCTATCTATCTATCTATATCTATCTATCTATCTATCTATCTATCTATCTATCTATCTATCATCTATCTATCTATCTATCTATCTATCTATCTATCTATCTATCTATCATCTATCTATCTATCTATCATCTATCTATCTCTATCTATCTATCTATCTATCTATCTATCTATCTATCTATCATCTATCTATCTATCTATCTATCTATCTATCTATCTATCTATCATCTATCTATCTATCTATATCTCTTTCTCTCTCTTTCGGTCTCTCTCTCACACACACACAATTGTGTTTTCACCCATTTCATTTAAACTACTCTCCATCTATGGCCACAGACTGCATTTCTGCATTCCATTTATGTTTAACTCCCAACCCCTTTTACATTTCCTTCTTTGCACCGTATAAACCTGACAACTTAAGGCTCATGTTCCACGCAACCAGTGGAGCGGACTCTGACCCACCAATGCTTCTTTCGTTAATAACATTGGAATTTTTAATGGGACTGTTGGGTGCTTCCCATGTGTGATTGCGATTTTTGTGTGGAATTGCAGGCTTCCAAATCCCTCTGAAGCTGGTTCTCTCCCTCGCCACATCTGTGATTGCTGTCTATCAGGTAAGAACCTAAGAACCCACAGCCTATCCAGCCCAGGATTCTGTTCTCATGGATGCTAATAATAATAATGATGATAATAATAATAATAATAATAATAATAATAATAATAATAATAATTTATACCCCACCCATCTGGCTGAGTTTCCCCAGCCACTCTGGGCAGCTCCTAATCAAGTGTTAAAAAACAATACAGCATTAAATATTAAAAACTTCCCTAAACAGGACTGCCTTCAGATGTCTTTTAAAGAGAAGATAGCTGCTTATTTCCTTCACATCTGATGGGAGGGCGTTCCACAGGGCAGGCGCCACTACCAAGGAGGCCCTCTGTCTGGTTCCCTGTAACCTCATTTCTCGCAATGGGGGAACTGCCAGAAGGCCCTCGGCACTGGACCTCAGTGTCCGGGCTGAACGATGGGGGTGGAGATGCTCCTTCAGATATACTGGACCGAGGCCATTTAGGGCTTTCAAGGTCAGCACTAACACTTTGAATTGTGCTTGGAAACGTACTGGGAGCCAATGCAGATCTCTCAGGCCACTCCCAATCACTAGTCTAGCTGCCGCATTCTGGATTAATTGCAGTTTCTGGGTCACCTTCAAAGGTAGCCCCACGGAGAGCGCATTGCAGTAGTCCAAGCGGGAGATAACCAGAGCATGCACCACTCTGGCAAGACAGTCCACGGGCAGGGAGGGTCTCATCCTGCGTACCAGATGGAGCTGGTAGACAGCTGCCCTGGACACAGAATTGACCTGCGCCTCCATGGACAGCTGTGAGTCCAAAATGACTCCCAGGCTGCACACCTGGTCCTTCAGGGGCACAGTTACCCCATTCAGGACCAGTTAGTCCCCCACACCCACCCACCCCCTGTCCCCCAAAAACAGTACTTCTGTCTTGTCAGGATTCAACCTCAATCTGTTAGCCGCCATCCATCCTCCAACCGCCTCCAGACACTCACACAAGCAGAATAGCGCTCTGTTGCACATATCTCCCAACAACTGGTACCCAGAGACATAAGAACATCAGAAGAGCCTGCTGGGTCAGGCCAGTGGTCCATCTAGTCCAGCATCCTGTTGTCACAGTGGCCAGCCAGATGAACCATCTCTTGGTTTACAGGTGGCCCTCCTCCTCCTGGCAGTCTTCGTCCCCAGCATCCAGATAGTAAGGTCTGGGATGACCAAGGAGCTGACTGCACTCTTCATCCAGTTTGGTTTAGTCCCCTCTGAAAATCCCGCTGGGATCCCTGGAGACAAAGAGTTAGCCACCCTCAAGCACTACATCTGGTCGCTAGAAGGTGAGTCTTTGGGGCCCTGGTCTTGTTGACAATGTCCCTTTCTGCCCCTGATAAGAGCAAACTCTGGAGCTGGTCACAGAATCGCTGAATTGCAGAGTTGGAAGGGGTCCCGTCCAGTGGCGTAGCGTGGGGGGTGCCAGGGGTGCCGGCCGCACCGGGCGCAACATCTGGGGGGCGCGAGTCCAGAGGGCCCAGCTGCGTCATGCCCTCGGCCCACCCCTATTGTCAGAGCGGCCGGCCAGCCTCCGCCTGCTCCTACCTTGCCCACCCGAGGACTGCGGCAGCGCCCGCCCCCGTGGCCACCTACCCCCGCCTCGCCCATTGGCTCGCCTCCCTCGGCCCCGCCTCTCTCCGATGGCCGCGGGGGTGTCCTGCTCAGCGCCGGCGCCTTTTTTCAGGAGGTAGGGAGGCTGGACGGGGAGGTGGGGTCGGAAGCGGGCAGAGAAGGAGGGGAGCTCGTAGCCAAAAGGGCTGTGCCCGCCGGCAAAGGGCCAGGGAAAGTTTGGAGAGGAGAAACGCACCGCCATGATTTCCCGGTGGAAGCGGCAGGATTAGGGATGGCGAAGCGTAATTACGCACAAATTTCGCTGGGTGAGAGCTTCGGGGATCGATCGGCGGAAATGGGAATCAATTGGAATATGAGAAAGAAAGAGAGAGAGGGACCATCATTCATAGGCATAGATTTGTAGGGTTGGAAGCAACATATGGGGGTTAGGGTTAGGGGGTGCAAATCCACGGGTTAGGGGGCGCAAATCCATGGGTTAGGGGGCGCAAATTACTTGCCTTGCCCCGGGTGCCGACAACCCATGCTACGCCACTGGTCCCGTCTAGTCCAACCTTCCAATGCAGGAATCACAACTGAAGCATCCCTGAGAAATGGCTCTGAAGAACTAAAGAAACACAAGGATATAAGAGTGCCCAGCCCTGGCTGCTCCCCCTGCCCACATTTTTATTTTTCAATTGTTTCCCACCCTGCCGCCCCAAAAATAACGAAACTGTAGGAACAAGAACTGGGTCACAAGCCCAGTTATGCAATAAGGTCTCCACATGAATGCAGTCTAGTCTTTTGTATTTATCTTGGAGCATATCTCTAAGCACATTAATGATCAATATACCCTCTCCAGAGCTGGTTGGCCCCCTAACTGAGAAGCTAAAAATAATGATAATAAATGTTGAGCCAGCATTTTAGTCATTGTCCCCATAATTCAATTGAAGTGACCTTTCCCCTTTCCCAAGTTTGCTGAGCTATCAAAATGTCAATTAACAGATACATAATGAATTCAGCTTAGTGCCAAGATCTTTTAAATCTCCCAGAATTCTCTGCACAGGATTTGGTTTTTTCTGGATTGGCCTTTCTTCCAATTTTGTTCTAAACCATGGATGTAGCCATGATTTATGGGGGGGGGGGCTTTATGTGTGTGGGGGGGGGGGTAGAACCTCAGCTAGTTAAGTATTTTGTATTGATCTACTTGATTTAGGGGGGCAGCTGCCCATGCACTAAACATTGGGATTTCCCCAAGAAAGGAGTGGGAGAATGGGGAAAGCACATGGGCCTCTGCATTCTAGGCATGGGAAAAGCAGAAATGTGGATGAGCACTCTGAGAACCAAAATTCCCCAATCCTTCCATCCTTAGTCGTGGTCATGGCATTATTGTCCTCAAATTGGACTGTTGCTACAAGTCGAAAGGATGGTTAGCGCGTTCCCCGATTACTACCTGGGTATCTTTCCTCTGATGAAGAGGGCAAGTTCCAAACACTGGGATGCTGATACGGCTGTGTAGTTATCAAGTTGGCTGCCTGCCCCCACGTGCTTCAATGTTTCTCCAAATGTTTTTCTTTTATTTTTTGACATCCTAAGTTCCTAGCCCTCGCGCTGTGCGTGCAGAGACCTTTCTGAAGTTCAGAGGGGATGGATTCTGGATGTAGGGAAACGTTGCAGGCGGGATCAGGGTCTGTGGTCAAAGGTTCCTAATCTGAGGGGCGTCTTATGGCATGCAAACATCCTTGTCATTCTGGGGTCCGTTGGGGGTTTCCTTTATGCATATTCACCCTCTTTCCCTGCTTTATTTCTGGGCCATTTGCCAGCAAGCTAAAAGCAGCGCTCAATGCCAAGAAGCAAAGGGGGAGTGAAATGCAGGCAGTAGTTTCACCCCGCAGATGGTAGCGCAGTGCTCACAAAGGCTTGCGGGGGGGAGGAAGTGGTAGGATCCTGCATTTGGCACAGAGAGGATGGGATGGAAAAGATGCTGCTTGGAGGAGAGGGTGTGCATAGCCGATGACAGGCTGACTGACAGGCAGGCAGACAGGCAGACAAATGGGCTGCTGCCTGTCTTGTCAGCTCTCCTGGTGATAAGGACCCTCCCTCTTGCTATAGCAGAATGGCAGAAGCACACCTGAACCAAGGTAATGCATGTGAGAGCCAGGGAGCACATCTGCACCAAGATACCACTTTAAGCAAAAGAATTCTTTAAGCAAAAGAATTATTTAACCCAAAGAATTATGGGAGCTGTGCTTTGTGAAGAGTGCTGCTGAGAGTTGCTAGAAAGTCCCGATTCACCTCCCAGAGCTGCAATTCCCAGAGTTCCCTGGGAAAAGAGGGACTGGTTGTGAAACCACTCCTGTTTTTTGCAGTCTGCTTCGTCTCCTCCCTGGTCGTCTCCTGCCTGCTGACTTTCTGTATGCTGATGAAGTCCATGGGGAAGCACAGGTGAGCCTTGTCCTTCTGGACTCCACCGGGGGCAGGGAAGGGAGGTCCATCAGGGCAAACGGGGCTCTGCCCCACCCAAATCAGGCTGCCCCGAGCCAGCCCCCTCCTGCTTCTCTTCTTAACTGGCAAGAGATATGGCATGCCATTCCCTTCACCTTCCTCCTCCTCCGTTTCACTTTAGGTGCTCCAGCTGAAAACCCCAATCTAGCATTGCAGAAGCTCTGTGGTTTGTGCATCAAGCCACTTCCACTGCTGTTCTCATCCCTGCTTTGAGAACAAATGCCTTCACTTGGCACCCACCATCCTAAAAGTCCTTCTTTCGCAATGAGGAGTTGATCTATGGAAGCCCTTCCCCCGGGAGGGAGGGATGGCCACTAAGGTGGATGGCTTTAGAAGAGGATTGGACAAATTTATGGAGGAAGAGAGGTCTTTCCATGGCTACTGCGATACCATGATAGCTGTGCTCTGCCTCCACACTGGGAATCTACAAAAGTGCAAATGCAACACACTGGCTAATAACTGTTAGTAAATATATAATCAGCATGATGTCATTCAAAATAAATGAATAAGCCACTTCAAAATAATATATATATATCATGCAACACATCTCACAAAATATACAAGTGACTGCAAGTTGTTATGTGTATCAGAGTCAGTCAAAGGTTCAAACAACCAATGAATAGGGAGGAATGCCAAACCGTCTCTCAAAGGAAGACGTCTCAGCAGCTACATTATCCAGTGAGCACTGATCCACTAGTATGATCTTCTATAGTATGTATATTTCATTGATGATTATTTGCTGATGAAGACTTTATTTTGAAACAGTTGAACTATTCCGGATGCACTGTCGTTTTGAGACTTCGGAGAAACGTCTTCCTTTGAGACTTCTGTGAGACGTCTACCTTTGAGAGACGGCTTGGCATTCCTCGCTACTCATTGGTTGCTTGAACCTTTGAACCCAGATCCCACTAGCTCAGATCTGGTTCCCCCTTATACTGGTGGGGTGGGAAGGTGCAAGGAACATACTCGCCTATGTGATGGGGATGTAACTGTGCTCAGAAGTTCTGGAACCACTTTGAATGCTGAGTTATGTCTTTTGTCCATTTTTGATGGTGCAAGTGCCAATCTTTTTTGTCAGCAATTCTATATCTGCTGACCACCACTAGGTTTGTGATCTCTCGAAGATGGATGGAGGCATCTTTCTACTCTTTGGACTTGTGATTTTAAAAAGTCATGTTTCTCACCATCTCTGAAAAATGGGTCCCCAGGGGGTGAGGCAGACCCCACAGACTTTGCTTCTGTTTGTGGGGCTGTTCATGATTAATATGACCCAACAACCTCATGGCCGACACGTTCTTGGTACATATGGTTTTATCTGGACCATCTAGAGGGGCTGGGAGCTGGGGGCACTGTCATACAGTGGTTCCGCTCCTTCCTCCTGGGCCGTGTCCAGAAAGTGGTGGTGGGGGATGAGTGTTCAGACCCCTGGGCTCTCACTTGTGGGGTGCCTCAGGGTTCTGTCCTCTCCCCCATGCTTTTTAATATCTATATGAAGCCGCTGGGAGAGATCATCAGGGGGTTTGGACTGGGTGTTCATCAGTATGCAGATGACACCCAGCTCTACCTCTCCTTTAAATCAGAACCAGTGAAGGCGGTGAAGGTCCTGTGTGAGTGCCTGGAGGCGGTTGGAGGATGGATGGCGGCTAACAGATTGAGGTTGAATCCTGACAAGACAGAAGTACTGTTTTTGGGGGACAGGGAGCGGGTTGGTGTGGGGGATTCCCTGGTCTTGAATGGGGTAACTGTGCCCCTGAAGGACCAGGTGCGCAGCCTGGGAGTCATTTTGGACTCACAGCTGTCCATGGAGGCGCAGGTTAACTCTGTGTCCAGGGCAGCTGTCTACCAGCTCCACCTGGTACGCAGGCTAAGACCCTACCTGCCCGCGAACTGTCTCGCCAGAGTGGTGCATGCTCTAGTTATCTCACGCTTGGACTACGCTCTACGTGGGGCTAAAGGTGACCCGGAAACTGCAATTAATCCAGAATGCGGCAGCTAGACTGGTGACTGGGAGTGGCCGCCGGGACCACATAACACCGGTTCTGAGAGATCTGCATTGGCTCCCAGTACGTTTCCGAGCACGATTCAAAGTGTTGGTGCTGACCTTTAAAGCCCTAAACGGCCTCGGCCTGTATACCTGAAGGAGCGTCTCCACCCCCATCGTTCAGCACACTGAGATCCAGCGCCGAGGGCCTTCTGGCGGTTCCCTCATTGCGAGAAGTGAGGCTACAGGGAACCAGACAGAGGGCCTTCTCGGTAGTGGCGCCCGCCCTGTGGAACGCCCTCCCATCAGATGTCAAAGAGATAAATAATTACCTGACATTCAGAAGGCATCTTAAGGCAGCCCTGTTCAGGGAAGTTTTTAATATGTAACGCTGTACTGTTTTTAACACTGATTGGGAGCCGCCCAGAGTGGCTGGGGAAACTCAGCCAGATGGGCAGGGTATAAATAATAAATTATTATTATTATTATTATTATTATTATTATTATTATTATTATTATTATTATCTGGTGGTGTTTATGAATAGATTTTACTTTACTATATTTACTTATTAAATTAATATGCTGCCCTTCATCAAGAGACCACATTACAACATAATGCAGCAAAACTGTACTGCAGATAAAATTGCAGACAAAAACATCAACCCCCAGTGAGCAAGGAACGTATGAAAAGGTTTAAACGATTAATTGTAGAACAATATTAAACCCAGTGGCGTAGCGTGGGGGGTGCCAGGGGTGCCAGCCGCACCGGGCGCAACTTCTGGGGGGGCGCGCTCGCTGCCTCCGGAGTCGCCGAAGAGCCTCGGGCGCAGGCTGTAGCTGGCAGCGGCTCTCAGCGCTCGCCGCGGTCCCCGCGCGTCAGGGCCACGGAGGGCGCGCCAGGCAGCCCCTCCTCACCGACGGGCAGCGTTCGCCTGCGGGGCTCGGCCAGCGCGCTTGGCTGGCCGCGTGGAGTCGCCGAGGAGCCGCCGCCGCCTGCCATGCCGCCCTGGCTGCTTCAACCGCCGGTCCGACAGCCGGCTCGAGGCCTCCTTCCGGCCGGGTCTCCCGACGGGGCGCTGCGGGCGGAGGCTCCGGCACCAAGCGCCACCGCCGCCCAGGCTCGGGTCGCTGTCTGGACCGCGCAGCCCGCCAAACGCGCCATCGGCCGGCGCTCTAGTGCCTGCGCGCCAAGACCGCCCACCCGCCCCGACGGGGCTCCCCCACCCACGCCGGAGGCGGCCGACGCACTGGCCCCAGAGCCGCCCCCTCCCCGCGCCAGAAAGAAAGCCCCTTCCCCGCGCCAGAAAGAAGCCGCGTCGGGACTAGCCGGGGCCGGGGAGGGAGACGAGAAGGCTGCGCCGCGGACGCCCAAAGACGCGCGTCTTGGGCGTAATATTAATGACCATGGTTAGGTGTTAGGGGGCGCAAATTACTTGCCTTGCCCCGGGTTAGGGGGCGCAAATTACTTGCCTTGCCCCGGGTGCTGATAACCCACGCTACGCCGCTGATTAAACCAAGAAATAAACAGACCAATTCAAGTATATTACACAATGTACTGAAACCATATAAATTCTATATTCCAAACCAAAGGCAAAAATATGGCTAGGGATCGCTCTTCATTTAACATATGGAGATTTAGACTGCCAGACTTGCTTCAGATGTGCAGTTTATTTCCCCCTGTGTGCTCTTTTCCATGAGGACACTGAAGGACTTGTGTCAGAGCATTCATTTTTGTAAAAATATGAACCTTGTATCCCACTAATAGGGACGCGGGTGGCGCTGTGGGTTAAACCACAGAGCCTAGGACCTTGCCAATCAGAAGGTTAGCGGTTCCGGAATCCCACGACGCGTGAGCTCCCGTTGCTCGGTCCCAGCTCCTGCCAACCTAGCAGTTTGAAAGCACTTCAAAGTGCAAGTAGGATAAATAGGTACCACTCTGGCGGAAGGTAAACGGCGTTCCGTGCCCTGCTCTGGTTCGCCAGAAGCGGCTTAGTTCATGCTGGCCACATGACCCGGAAGCTGTATGCCGGCTTCCTCGTCAATAAAGCGAGATGAGTGCCGTAACCCTAGAGTCAGCCATGACTGGACCTAATGGTCAGGGGTCCCTTTACCTTTACTTTATCCCACTAATGTTTTGCATTAGGGGCCACATTCACTGGGCTGTGTGTGTGTCCTGTCTAGGGCCACATGTTGATGCTGGGTGGGGCCAAAGCTGGGAGTGGGTGGAGCCAGTGTCTCCCCAGACATAGTGTGAGTATTTTAACAATATGATCCCCAGAACTAGTTTAAATGCCATTGTGCTCAGGTCCAGTTTGTGGGTTGGCCACTTGGGGCATCTGGTTGGCCACTCTGAGAGCAGGATGCTGGACTAGGTGGTGAGGAGATTTCACCCCTCCCATATCCAAGAATCTGCTGATGTGCTCTGCTGATTCTCCAGAGAGGAGGGGGCAGTTTCTGCTCTCTACTTATTCCACTCCAGCCTCACATCAAAGTGTCGGGGGGCGGGGGGGGAGAGAGACTGAGTGTTAGAGAGAGATCATGTGTATAGATAAGGTTGCTGCTAAGAGCAGCTGCAGACACTCAGTTGCAGTTCAGCATTTTCGTTTAGACCTCATTTAGCTCTGTATATAGTTGTGTATTGTAGATAGAATAAAGAAGATATTCTACAGAGCTGCTCTCCGAGTCATTTATGCTCTGCTATACTCTGCTGTGCGACGACTGTCTTCTTGTGGAAGTGAATCCGGTGCTCACAACTCTAAGCTGTGAGTCCACAGCACTTGGGACCTGTTCCTGTGCAGAAGGTGGTCTCTGGAAGTGCTACCCAGCTCAACTAGCCCAGTCGGGCTGAAGTGTATGAGTCCAGTCGGTGGCACTGGCTCAAGGGCGATGCTGACAGGTGAACCACTGGCCGGATTCAGCAGGCTCCTTTGATATCCAGTCCAGTAATTTTGGCCTCCCTGAGCTAACCTCCCAAGCCGATTCACTGCAGCATGCACAGCATAAGTGAGCACAAAACTGCCCCTTTGTCTTTCATTATGGCACAAAGCGGGTGGTCATTGCACTCTCTGAAACAGACTCTGCCACAGGCTCATGCGGATATTTTTTTATGAATGGTTTAAATTAAGCAATACATTATTGAATAACGCCGAATCAGGCAAGCTGCATATTGAACTGCGTTTGGGGAGGACTAGTTCAAATGAGCAAAGCAATATATTGCTCCAAAAAGTAAATGTTATTTCACAGGCTGTTAAAACATTCATGCTTTATTTTCACCAGGATTGGCTGGACCAGGGCTTCCTCAACCTCAGCCCTCCAGATGTTTTTGGCCTACAACTCCCATGATCCCTAGCTAGCAGGACCAGTGGTCAGGGATGATGGGAATTGTAGTCTCAAAACATCTGGAGGGCTGAGGTTGAGGAAGCCTGGGCTGGACCAACATAAACAGCAACAGCAACAACAGTATG